GTATCGCACTCTCCAATTTGTCACACATTTCCTGATCAGAAGCCTCCACAGGGCGCCCCGACCTTGGGTCATCTTCGATCGACTCTCTTCCCCACTTAAACTGCTTGCTCCAAAATTTAACTTGGTAATAAGAAGGCGAAGACACACCATAAACGTTAGACATACGTTCACGAATCTCCTTAGGTGCTTTCCCTTCTTTGGTGAGGAATTTGATCACTGAACGATGTTCAACTTTCGTGAAATCCATGACACAGACTCGGGAGAAGAAATCTAATGCGCTACCACTTTGAACGGACTTGAGCCACTGAGCTGGTATAGTGGTGGAGCACTCACGAGACCTGTCGAGACATGTCACAACAGGCCTGTTGCTCATCCCTTTCATATTCAGGTAGATAACTCATTGAGTGGCCCTCGTAAATTCCTTTCAAGAAGATTCCTCTTTCCACCAAGTGTCTCTTTGTTGTTCCATTCATGCTAACCTTGGGACTAGGAAGACTGACCAGGCTTACAGTGTAATTTGGCTCTCTTGTCTTCAGGTCTTGTTCACTCATAGGCTTCATTCAGAGACTTAAAAACTAAACTAGGCCCGTGAAGCTGAAGCCACTCCTAGTTTGAAGTTCCTCTTCTGATTGACTCTTTTTGCATTAGCTCTAAAAATTCATGGAATGGTATCTTCCCAATCCTCACTGGGTCTTGAAATTAGAGTTATTAGTTATTTATAAGCATCGATTGTAGCTTGAAGCATGGTCTTGGAATTTGCTACGCTTCCGTCATTTCGACATACTTAATCAAGTCAATGAACGGCTAGTTGGTGTTTTTTCATGATTCCAATAAATGATAACTTTCTCAAATGGCTGCAAGAGGATGAGCTTAAATGTAATCACTTCATGAAATCTGATTGCAGGAGAAAATGCGCAAAATTCTATACTAGTAAATGCGAAAGATAGATAGGTTTGTAGACACGCAGCAAATGAATACAATGTTTGCTTCCATTATCAGGCAAGTCCCGAAGCCGAAGTCTGCTATGTTCATTTAAACGGTATTTTTCTTCCATATATTTTCGTTAGAAAGAGAGGGAAAGAGCAAGTAGGGGCACATAATCAGAAAAATGTTATTTCAGCACAGAAATGCCGTCTAACTTGTCTAAAATGGCTGCCTCACCAGTATCACATGATCTAAGCACTATTTTACGATGATCGCAATTTACAAACACGATAAGCAATCAAGAGAATATGAATTAAAAAGTCTGTCTTCCTAGCCTTGCCTGGCATATCCAAGTAAATTCCACTGCTACAACTAAAAGAAGTATCCAGGGTAAGTATCCTGTTAAGTACCCTGAAACGCTGATATGCACAAAAGTACTACAATATATCTTCCATATATACATTATTGCCATTCATTCGAAAATAAAACTTTTATCTTTTTTATCACATATACCCCGAATGACCTCATATTTTCTTTATGGACGTCTCCATCATGGAGGACGCGGTGATGTATTTTTCCCCTTAGAAAAAAAGAGGCCATCCTCTCACTGCTGTTCGAGTTGCAAGTGATCGTGTCTGTCGAGAACCTACTGTGCCGGCTCAGAATTGTTCCTCCACATGGACTTCCGGATCCTCCCGAACAGCGACGACTTCCTCCTCTGATCCGGAGCAGACGGCTTCGGCGACTCCCTCAAGATTTCGTTTTTCTCTTCCGTGTTATTGGCGGGACGGTTTTCTTCGAGGCGCCTGGCAGGAGAAATGCATACGGAAACTTCATGATATGCAGGGACGACAGTTTCTCAGCATGAAGCTGTGGAGCTATTCCATTCATTCATTCGTGAAGTACTGATACCGGGGTCATCCTCTTTCTTTCTGTCTCTCTTACCTTATCAGAAAACTTATCAATTTTATCTTTTTTAAGGAATTTTAAGCTTGTCACGAATAGTCGTGGGGTGAGAACGGTTAATCACATTCGGTTGACACGAAAAAGTTACGTGCTGTCTTCTGCCTATGAATCAAAAGAAACCGTGCGAAGATTTCAGACTGTGGACCAAAAAATAAAAGGAAATTTTGGCAATAGAATACTGCCCGCACAAATCCATTGAGAAACACTGAAGTGAAAATGAAACCATGGATCCATGAAAACAATCAATTGCAGGGAAGATTTGATGTGAATTTTTAACCAAGTTGACACTACACAGGAGGTCACACTTGTGAAGTGCTCTGGGCCTCATAGTAATGTAATGCTTGCTTCTCCTAACTTCTCTCAGGCTTCAACCGTACCTTAGTTTCCATCCTTTCATCCACATATTTTATTTGCTGATGAATAAAAAGAATACTTTTTGACATGGATCAAAACTGGACAGTATTGATCGATTTCTCTAATCGAATAGGCAGCTCTCTAATTCAGATCCGCGTCCTTGAATGGACACTTAACCTCTGCTTTTTTCTACTCGCTAAAAGAGAGGATGTGCAGATATTGCTTTTTACCTGGCATCCATCTGATCGGAGACTCAGCTAGGTCCCTGAAGCTGCAGCAACTTCTTCTTAATAGAAGTTCCTTGTCTCATTGACATATTGTGCATTGGTTCTAAAAATTCAAGGAATTGTCACCGGCATACATAATCACTTGATCTGGAAGTTAGGTTGCATCTGAATTACTTATGAGCATCCACTGCAGCTTGAAGCGTGGTCTTAGAACTTACAATGCTTCCGTATGTTTGACATACTTAATCCAGTCAATGAACAGGTAGTTGGAGATTATCATTATTTCGGTTAAGGACAATTTTTTTAACTGGCTGCAAGAGGGTGGGGTTAAATGAGATCACTGTAAGATAGATAATGTCACGAGAAAACGCATGCAACTCTGACCCTAAAAATAAATGCAAATGGAGTAAGCGTTGGAATGGTCCGGTCACAAGAAATCGCACGAACAAAAAGTCAGTCAAATGGGTGCAATGCTTCACAAAAATTCTGGATGAAACATGGAATTCGGCGTACTCGTTATATGCTGTGAACATTGCAAACACTATCACAGATCTGGAGGAAGTTCATAACTTTATCTCCCCCTCTACTGATTAGGCGTATCAAAGGGAAGCGAAGAAGGAGGAGGCCGCCCCTTAGTCTCCACTGACAAACCGGGACTGCTGCATTTCACGAGCAGCCACTAGGAAACCTGGAATCTAGATGGTGATACATTTTCTCAAAAAAATTGTGACTCCAAGGACCTGTCACAATCGATCAGAAAATTGGCCATAACAAAGGCCCAAACTCTAACGTATGCTTCTTAAATTCACGNCCGTGAAGCTGAAGCCACTCCTAGTTTGAAGTTCCTCTTCTGATTGACTCTTTTTGCATTAGCTCTAAAAATTCATGGAATGGTATCTTCCCAATCCTCACTGGGTCTTGAAATTAGAGTTATTAGTTATTTATAAGCATCGATTGTAGCTTGAAGCATGGTCTTGGAATTTGCTACGCTTCCGTCACTTCGACATACTTAATCAAGTCAATGAACGGCTAGTTGGTGTTTTTTCATGATTCCAATAAATGATAACTTTCTCAAATGGCTGCAAGAGGATGAGCTTAAATGTAATCACTTCATGAAATCTGATTGCAGGAGAAAATGCGCAAAATTCTATACTAGTAAATGCGAAAGATAGATAGGTTTGTAGACACGCAGCAAATGAATACAATGTTTGCTTCCATTATCAGGCAAGTCCCGAAGCCGAAGTCTGCTATGTTCATTTAAACGGTATTTTTCTTCCATATATTTTCGTTAGAAAGAGAGGGAAAGAGCAAGTAGGGGCACATAATCAGAAAAATGTTATTTCAGCACAGAAATGCCGTCTAACTTGTCTAAAATGGCTGCCTCACCAGTATCACATGATCTAAGCACTATTTTACGATGATCGCAATTTACAAACACGATAAGCAATCAAGAGAATATGAATTAAAAAGTCTGTCTTCCTAGCCTTGCCTGGCATATCCAAGTAAATTCCACTGCTACAACTAAAAGAAGTATCCAGGGTAAGTACCCTGTTAAGTACCCTGAAACGCTGATATGCACAAAAGTACTACAATATATCTTCCATATATACATTATTGCCATTCATTCGAAAATAAAACTTTTATCTTTTTTATCACATATACCCCGAATGACCTCATATTTTCTTTATGGACGTCTCCATCATGGAGGACGCGGTGATGTATTTTTCCCCTTAGAAAAAAAGAGGCCATCTTCTCACTGCTGTTCGAGTTGCAAGTGATCGTGTCTGTCGAGAACCTACTGTGCCGGCTCAGAATTGTTCCTCCACATGGACTTCCGGATCCTCCCGAACAGCGACGACTTCCTCCTCTGATCCGGAGCAGACGGCTTCGGCGACTCCCTCAAGATTTCGTTTTTCTCTTCCGTGTTATTGGCGGGACGGTTTTCTTCGAGGCGCCTGGCAGGAGAAATGCATAAGGAAACTTCATGATATGCAGGGACGACAGTTTCTCAGCATGAAGCTGTGGGGCTATTCCATTCATTCATTCGTGAAGTACTGATACCGGGGTCATCCTCTTTCTTTCTGTCTCTCTTACCTTATCACAAAACGTATAAAATTTATCTTTTTTAAGGAATTTTAAGCTTGTCACGAATAGTCGTGGGGTGAGAACGGTTAATCACATTCGGTTAACACGAAAAAGTTACGTGCTGTCTTCTGCCTATGAATCAAAAGAAACCGTGCGAAGATTTCAGACTGTGGACCAAAAAATAAAAGGAAATTTTGGCAATAGAATACTGCCCGCACAAAACCATTGAGAAACACTGAAGTGAAAATGAAACCATGGTTCCATGAAAACAATCAATTGCAGGGAAGATTTGATGCGAATTCTTAACCAAGTTGACACTACACAGGAGGTCACACTCGTGAAGTGCTCTGGGCCTCATAGTAATGTAATGCTTGCTTCTCCCAACTTCTCTCAGGCTTCAACCGTACCTTAGTTTCCATCCTTTCATCCACATATTTTATTTGCTGATGAATAAAAAGAATACTTTTTGACATGGATCAAAACTGGACAGTATTGATCGATTTTTCTAATCGAATAGGCAGCTCTCTAATTCAGATCCGCGTCCTTGAATGAACACTTAACCTCTGCTTTTTTCTACTCGCTAAAAGAGAGGATGTGCAGATATTGCTTTTTACCTGGCATCCATCTGATCGGAGACTCAGCTAGGTCCCTGAAGCTGCAGCAACTTCTTCTTAATAGAAGTTCCTTGTCTCATTGACATATTGTGCATTGGTTCTAAAAATTCAAGGAATTGTCACCGGCATA